TGCTGCTCTGCAGCTCGCCTCCACCTCCCGTCTCTGCCTGACACCACTGCCTAGGTGGGACAGTGGGAGTACTCCTTTCAGGTACCACTAGTAGCTTGTGTCACATCGTCCCTTACACACCTTGCTGGGACCTTGTGGCTGGCTTTTCTGTGCCAGGAACAAGGAATAGCAATCTGCAGACTGATGCTTGGGAGAGCAGTGCTTTATTCTGGAATATCCCTTCCCACATGTTGCCCCTTGGGGTGACACCACAGCAGCAAAGAGCTACAGCCTGGAGATGACTTGTAACTCCAGGAGCCTGAAAGACTCCAGCCCCTGCAACACAGCTGGTGAGACAGGTAATTCCCACCACTGGAATACAGCCCATTCCCCCAACGAAACCTCCTTTCTCAAATAGGCTCAGGGTTGGGAACTTTGCATCAATCTGAGAATTCCCTGCCCCTGGGAACAGGGGTGGTTACACATGTCAGGAGCAAGCTCTTCTGTGCAGCTCCACCTGTGGTGACAGTCCCAGGGAGGTCCCAGCAGAGACAGGGCGACTTGCCCGCTCCAACAGTGGCAAATGACCATGCTGGGGACCGGACATCCGCAGGGCTCAGGCTCATTCCTTTCCTCTGTGGGAAGTATTTGCCATGTGAAAGCGTCAGAGGAAGGCATTGCCCATGATCTCCAGAGCATCACAGAGGTGCATGGGGACGATAAGGGAGACGTCCATGGGCAGAGCTGGGGCTGAGCCGCACATCAAAGAGAAGGGGTTCCTGGCATGGAGGTGCTTTCTGCTCACTGTCATTTAATAAGGGGGAGGGTGAGGCAAAATCATCGTTTTCTAGGAGCCTGTCCTCCAGGCTTTCCTTTCACAGCTGGAGTGATTTCACACCTGCCTGCAGAGGGAGATGGCTCCTCTACGTTAGCCAGATTTTGTTGACACAGTTTGGTGTCTCCACCTTGCCAGGCTGGAAAAACCAGCCTGGGAGCTGACGTGGCCCTGCCGCGGCCCATAACCCAGCTGTTCCCTAGGGATGCTGCCAGGGGTACGCGGGGACCCTCCCGCATACAGGAGCGCTGGGGATGAAGCGGCAGCGGCTCACAGGCTGTTTGCAAGGTCCTGCGGGAGAGCAGGGTGTGAGCAGTGCCAGGTCCCACTGCATGCTCCAGCAGCGGTACTGCCTCTGGCTGTGCTGAGGGGTCCTGGCAGGAACCCTGTGAGCATGTGACTTCACCCTTCCCCTCTCCCCGGCTCCCCTAGCCCAGGGTCTGGGCAAAGCTGCGCAACCATCACCTGGAAAACATGCTCATTTGCAAACCCAGGGTGTCTCAAGTGCCGGGATGGCTCCCGCTCCCGGGGCTGCTCTGCCTCATGCATAGAGCAGGTTTGTGAGGAGCTGCCAGGGCTGGGCGAACCTGAAAAGCTGGCTCATGTGTACCCCAAACGCCTCCCTGCCCGCAGAGCCGCTCGGGGCCCTCGCAGGGAGCCTTGCACACAGCAGCCAGGCTGCCAGCCTTCCGGCATCCCGCTCAGGCTACCCTGGTGCCTTGCCAAGAGCAAGACAGCGGGGCAGAAGCACTGCACAGGGCTCAGGTGCGGTTGCAGCTCCTGGGTGAGGCTTCCTCAGCCCTCCAAAAAGCATTGACTCCTGTCCTACTTTTCCTTGGGGGGTGGGGTGGAAGACTTGTTCCCTGATGCTGCCTCGTAAACCGCAGTTTTAATTTCCCCAGTTTCCCCACAGCCCTACCTGCCCACATCAGTGCCTGTGAGAGAGCAGGGTACATGATACCTGAGAGGCACCTTGCCCAGAGATCAAGCAGTGAGCTGAAGGCAGGGCTGTGCGAAAGATAAAGCTCACCTACATCCCTTCCCCCACCAAGGCTTTTAATGTGTGTGACAGGCTACGCACTGTTAATAATTGAACTTAATAACTAGCTTAAGGCTTTGTTATACTTTCCTTCTGTATTCAATACTGAAAGAATAACAAGGAGAAAAGCAGAGAAAGCTGTGAGTTTAATAAGAAGAGAAAAGATTTACAGAGGACATGAATAGAGCTGGAAAAGCTAGAAGAGCCCTCATCTTTAATGAGTATATCCAAATACTTCCAGAAAGTCACCTCCTAACTCAGAGAGTGTCAGCTGACAGTTTCTAAGCCCATACACAGCTTTTCCTGGGGAAAAGTCTTTTCACTTCAGGGGTGCTTTTTGAATATCCACTTCTTACTCACAGGATCCTTGAGCAGGTTTGTGCTTTACTCCTTTACAAGTAGTTCTCACCATATTGTTGAATCATTTCTTAATATGCTATATAGATTTTTGACTCCCTGGATAGACATGCCTCTGAACTCCACCATACGTTTGAAATTAAAGTAGTCACAGAAAGCTCAAGGATTTAAGGACATATCTAATAGGAGACAACATGCTAATGCTGCATGTGGTGCTAGCTTGAACTTCTTTCTGAAATTGTGAACAGGAAGAATGCATCATCCTCAGAAAGCTGGAAAATAGACTCACATTTTTGTAAGCCCACACAGGCTTCTTGGGTCTTAAACATATCTCTCTGCTCTTTTACTTGCAAGCAAAACAACATGCAGATCCCTGGCCCCATCAGGCCATGGTACCCCTGTTTCCCCTGTGGTGCCAGCACCAGTGATCCACATCTGGCCTGGAGGATTTTGCTGGGCAAGGCTGATGCAGCTCCTCCAAGTCCAGAGAGGATGGCTGTGCATCACAGCCAGACTGAAACAGCCTCTCACCTCCACCACTGTGTTTTGCCACACGGCTGGGCTGCTGGAGACAGAGACAAGACACTCTACCAGAGCATCAGTTTGCAAACATGATGCATTTGTCCTCTCTTTTTTCTTTTAAGTTCAAAGCAATCCAACGCTGTCACCAAGCCACAAGCTTCACAGCTCGCTTGCTATGTTCAGCCTAATCTAAGTAGCCAAACTCTCACTTTGGCAGCAATAATGATCTCCCTTTTCCACCCCAGAGATGACAAAGAGCTGAACAAAATGCCACACCTCTACCCCCTCATCCACACGCATCTTCTGGGAGATGACAATAAACCCACCACAGTTAACTGGCAACAGACAGGCATGCTGCAAAACTCATGGCAGTATTTTTTTATCCCCCAAAACCCCCAAATCCCATCAACCTTAAAATTTCAACTCATGGGCAGAAAGGTGCCAGGTAGCCAGTGTTTCTACCACTTACCTCTAATCCCTGCTGTTCCCCTACTATCTGTTAGCCTCTCACCTTGCTCTGATCTCTTCCCACCCTGAACTGGGGACAATTAGACTCCACATCCTCAGCTCAGAGGGCACGAAGCCAGATAGGGGCTTCTACAGAACAGAACCGATGGGTTGCCATGCCCACCACTGACCATGGTAAGCTTAGGCATCCCAGGAGGCAGCAAGAAACTTAAGAAAGAGCGACTTCTGCCATGGGATAGTTACAGGTCCCAGCTTAGGTCTATGAGCTCTTCCCATCTCTCCTGGATGGCAAATGAGATTCTCGTCCAAAGTTGCCTTCACTGCAGCCCCTCTGCAAGCTAAGGATGAGGGAGGGAAGGCCTCAGAGCAGCCACCAAGTCAGAGCTGGGCACTGTCCCAACCCAGAGCATCCCAGGAGCCCAGCCAAACTGCTGTTCACTAGGTTGCACGTGGCAACATGCTTTTCACCTGGCAAGAGAAACTCATGCAATAGCCAGCAAGAGCAGAGCCTGGAAACGCCAGTGAAGGCAGCGGTGGCAACGAGGTTACTTCTCTCCAGCTTGTGCCAGCGCTGAGATGGCCCCAGCCGAAAGCACAGAGCAGCACCCTTGACCCTCAGCATGGGGCACTGCCAGTTGGACCATCGGCTAATGCTGTGGGTGCAATTGCACAACCCACCCAAGTGTGGGTTTTCCTCAGAGCTCAGGGTTAATAGAAGCAAAAGTATCACTACATACCACGTGCCTGCATTGGGCAACAGTATGCCTGTTCACACTGAAGTGATCATTTCTGTTTTCTTCAGAAAGAGCAGCGCCTATTGCTTCTATAAATGTGCCGTATGGCCCTTTGCCTATGACCCTGAGCTGCTGGCTGCTCTTCCTGTGGTCCTGGCACTTGCATCTGTTCCACATTCTTCTTTTATCGGAGATTTGGAGACTCCATTGATATGGGTGTGTCACATGCTGGCAGACAAGGGAAAGCACTGCCCAAACCCTGTGGGAAGACAAAAAGGAATTGCTGATGGAGGTTTGTAGGGATCCAGAGGTATGCGGAGACCACAGCAGCAGTTACAAGAAAGAAAAAGCACTTTAATCCTGCTTAAATAATATCCTGTTACAAGGATCACAGGTTCACATTAAACCAAGACTGGAGAACTGCCACAGGGGAAAGAATACAACTTTATTTTAAAAAATAATAATTTAGTTCAAACACAACCAGGATTGCAGAGGGTTGATCAAAGCAGGAAGAACAGTATTTACCCACAGAACTTAAATCACACCAATTCCATTCTCTTGTAGATGGCACTTTCAGTGCCCTTCCCTGCTCACAGCTCTACTTCAGTTCCTCGCCTGCACATAAAGGAATTTTGACTCCCAGGGCTCTTGGTAACAAGCAGAGGAGAAATGGTGTCTACCACACGTGAAATGCTATTCCTACCTCCAGAACCTCCACAGAAGATCCAAAAAGCCAGAAGAGCAATACCAGCATCTAAACCAATGTGCAATACAAAGAGAACAACTTGCACTCCTCCCTGGAAGTCTACCTACCCATGCCCCATTCCCAGCATCCTGGCCAAGTGCTTCCACCCACGCCTGAATTTGTGCCCCCGCCCACAGGTGCTGTACACAGAGGTGTGCACACAGGCTTTTGCAATACTCCTCCCTCCCCACTCTCTTCTCTGTCAGACCTGCTGATCTTTCAGATCTTGCACCTCTGTCTGTGCCTGCGTGCCATACATTTCTTGGCACAGCAGCAGTTCGTTTCACAGTGACGGGATGTGCCCTGCAATACAGCAAGTCTCTACTGCAATTTCTTCTCTTCTGTGAAGTGGCCTTTCATGCAATTGCCGTTCTGATACACAGGGCTGGCCCCTTTCCTTCTGCACCACACCACCGATTTGTAGAGGACGAATCCAATGCTGGCCAGACACAGCAGGAGAAGAGCCAGGATGTCCAGGCAGAAGTACTCGTGTAAGGAGAGATCATAGACAGCAGGGCGAAGGTACGGTGCTCCATCGTGACGAAGGATGTACTCCAGCCAATACACAGTCCTGTTGAGAGCGTGCATCGGTCTGTCCAGGTGCAGAGCCGAGATAAGCTTGGCCGCTTTTCTGTAGCTGCAAGGGAAGATGACAAGAAGTTATCCTTCGGACAGGAACCTTATAGCTGAGAAGTAGTCTGAGGTGTCCAGCGGTGCTTTCAAGTCCCAAATGATACCTTGGGAGAGTGGCAAATTTCTTCCACGATTCTCTTCATATATGCCTCCAAAAGCCACTCTGATGGCAATCGTTAGCCACAGCAGCATAAGCCAGAGTGTATTTTAGTTTGTGCTTTGTTAACAAGACTGGCAGTTTAGCTCCAACTACCTGCCCAGTGGATTCATGTGGATTGTTGCTTTCTGAGGGGAGTTTGCACCCAAAGACCTTGCCCAGTATCAAGCAACAACAGATGCACACTTGATGACTGGCCAAATCCTTCAAGGTACTGAGTTGCAACACCTTAATAACTTACACTGAGGTCAGTAGTTGAGCGCTCCTAATAGGTTGGGGAAAAAAAAAAAAAAGAAGCTGTCCAACCACATTTCGAACAACAGCAGTTGCATGTGTCCTGTTAGAAAGTGGGATCCCTGGCTCACTGTGCTGCAGCACATCTAGGGAAGGGCAGAGTATCTGGTTGTCGGAAGGAATGCATGGAGTATCACCTGCAGTCCACTCTGTGCTACCTGTTTCTACAGCAAGCTGTTTGGGCAAGACTAGGGAGATCCCAAGGTGAGGCTGTGACCACTTTCCCTGATGACAGGCTGGCATTAAAAGGAGAAGAGGTTTGTGCCTCAGCATCTCAGAAAGCTTTCTAAGAAAATTACCATCAGGGTCAAAACAGGACTAGATCACACTTTCTAGCAGCAAATGCTGGAGTATCTCCATGGATTTTGAGGCATGAACACATCTGGCCAGCTGAGCAATGCTTGCAATTATGCTTGGTCCAGAAGCCACCACAGGCTGTGTAGGGGTCAACACAAAGACACCCTTGGTGCAGACTGTATGCAGGGACTAGTAAGAGCTCGATGCTTCTGGATGCCTCACCTGGGGTCAGAAATAACTGTGACAATAGCCTGGTAAAGATCCTCTTCTTTTACTCTGCTCCAGTCCATGAGGATGCCCATGCCCTTCGCCTGCACTCTGGTCATGATGTCAAACTGGTCCCCATAGAAAGGGAATCCCACCACTGGCACACCGTGATAAATTGCCTCAAATACTCCATTCATCCCACAGTGGCTGACAAAGGCTTTCACGTTGGGGTGGCCTGCAGGCAAAGAAACAACAGCAAGTCAGTGCCTTCCACACTGAAATGGGGCTACTGGCACCCTCCTCAACACACAGTGTTGATGTATGTTTAGGAAAAGACAGGCATGTTGAGCAGAGACGTTGTTACCCTTTAGGAACACACCTGGCTTTTGGCAGCCTCATACTTGCCAAGTAGCGCCTGGAGGAGGAAGGAGATAGGGAGCAAGATGCAGCTTCAAAGAAGCGTTAGGTGAGGACCATGTTTTGTACAGATCAGACTCGCAACAAGCAACAGACAGACCCACACAGGTGCTGTTGTCCTTGTATGCCTTTGCTGTGGTTTGGGCTAAACTCCAGGGATGTTGCTAGCAGCATGCACACACGCACACACACAGAGCCCAGCCTTACCTAGCAGGTCATTCTGGGGCAGCCACCCCATCATCAGCGTATTGTCACCCAGGTTTCTTGGCTTCTGCCCAAAGTATCTGTGGGAGGAGATAAAGGAGGGGGGAGAAAGGGAAAAGAAACACAGAGAACAATTATAAATTCAATCAGATCAAGAGATGGAAAGCAATTTCTGTTTTTTGAGATGAATCACCCCTCCTCTACATTGATCATCCAACTCAAGTTAAAAGGCATCCCATTCCCTCCTCACCTCCACACCACCCTCTGCGGGAGGCGAGCGAATGCACCAGCCATCTTCTCCACGAAATCACTCGGAGGAGCTCGGATCCCGATGCCAAAGGAGACAACAACAACACCTGCATCTGCTGCTTCCACCCAGAGACGCAGACCCTGCAGGAAAAACACACACAGCTGCCTTGAAGTCTTGTTGGAGAAAGTCCCTTCCCACTGTTGCCTCTGCCAGCAGAAAGTTGTCTATGGAAAGGATAAAGCCAAATCTACCTGGAGCACAAAGCTACATGGTTTTCATCAGGCAACGAACTCTAAACCCACTGTGATTTCTGAACCCAGCCAGGCAGAAATTACTTGAGCACCTGCTGGGCTTACGACCTTGCATGGAGGTGTCCAAAACTTGGATTTCATAGCATTACCTCTGCTTTGGAGGCAACGCAATTACTCTTTGGCAAGGAGGACCCTGAAAACATAGGGCCCACATAGGAGGGGCCAGAGCAGAGAAGGAAATTGGAGTAAAAAGAGGAAAGCTATTTTCCATCACCACTGAGGCAGGAGGCCTGTCAGGGTCTTGAGCTGTACACTGATAAAACAGATGAAACATCATGCAGGTAGAGCCTGGAACAACATCTTGCTGGAGATTCCCCACAAACTCTCCACTGTCAAAGGCCCCTGGAGGTGGCAGAAGGTTTTGCCATCCTGCTAGGAGACTTCTACCCATTCTTGATAGCTTCTTGCAGGTAGATGTAGGGTTTGGTCACCAGACAGAAAGGTAGCTACAGCTCCAGCAAAAAAAAACGGTAGTTTGCCTTTCATTTAGAGGCTACCTGTAATGCTGCATGAACACGTGTGCATCTAGAACAGAGTCCACACTTTTTTCAACCAGGGCCAGAAGGCTGCAGGGAGAAGAAATCAGCCACCACAGCGGCTGCGGAGCAAACACAGACTCTTGCCTTTTATGCCAGACTGGGCTGAGCCTATTTGTCATCACAGATTCTGTCCCGCTTCTGTCCCGCTTTCCCATGTGTTGCAGTCAGGAGCATTTTAGGGAAGTTTCATAAAGTCTGTCTTTAAATATAACTACTTCCTTGAAATAAACACCATAGACAACACAAAGGGCAAGAAAATAGTTCTTCTTGTTATTAAAGGTGAAAAATAAGATGATTAATTTAGAACATCTTATTAATAGTAGCCTACAGGTTGGGGAATCATAGTACAGAACAGTTACAAAGCATATTTTAGCATTACTCTGTGGAGATATTTGTCCTTTGTTGCATGCTTTAGGGATTCAAACCTATGTTTCTGGAAATGCTTTAAAAGCCCTAAAACAACCCAACAACCAAGAATCAAAAAGTTTTCAACTAGGGGTTTTGGTTTCTCCATTTGCTTGATTTTCACATCCTTTGAGCCACACAACCACTAAAACTGCTGAAAAAGAGAAAGTGCTAGTTTTACTTTTCTAAATAAAATTACAGTGACTCATAAAACAGGTGATTATGGCATCCATTATAACTGAGCCTTAACATTTGCCTTTCAGAAACAGCATTAAAGCTGCTAGGTAAGCATGGTTGACCACCGAAAGTTCTCAGTATCTCTCAAATACATATCTATATTTCACCAAGTCCTAATTAAAGGAACTCACAAACACAGTGTATCAGACATGAGGAAATAAACACCTTAATTATATAATCCTGCTCCAGTTGAGATGGGAGACTCCTTAAGCTAGACCTACAGAGGCCCTCTCTTCCGCTGGCATCCCACAACCTGGACACAGACATGCCTACCTGCTAGCATGAGGGCCACCGCCTATTGCAGGGCTCTGGACTTATCTCCATCATTCTTCCCTTAGGCACCCTGGGATCTGTTCTGGAAGCTGTGAAGCACATGAGTAATGCCCCGGCAAACAACTCCCTTCTTTATAAGGCAGGCGTGTACATGGCCAGATTGGACCAAGCCAGTGTTTTGCAAGAGCTGTGAGGCAGCTGCTCTCTGACACAGCTCTTGGAGCACCCTACGTGCATTGCATTACCTGCATGCCGTGCCACATGGGAAAAGGCAATGTGCAGCCATACACATCTGGAGAGCTTCTGTTCTAAAGCACCTGACCTCACTTTTTCCTTTTAACTGGAAAAAAACTGGTACCCACATGAGAATCTTCAAAAGAAGATTTGCACTGAATAATTCCCCAGGTTAATGGGCAATCACAGCTCAAAGCTTTCCTGCACTTACCACTGGAAGGGGCTTTGCAGGCTCAGCGAGGATCCCGCCTGTGAAAATGACATGGGGGAGCGTCGGACGGGGAAAGTCCAGCACCACATCATTACAGAGGAAGAAGAGACTAGTTCCATGGACAAGGTCCAACATGGATGTCTTGGGTTCCACCCTATGCTTCTCCATGAGACGTTCAAACTTGGGCAGGATGACCAGTTTTGTAGCCACACGAGTGATCATGTAGACTAGGAGATTCCAAGTCCTTCCAAAGAAGTCCATCCTGTCTGTCATCAGGGAGTTGAACTCGGGCACATAGGCAATGGGGGAAGTGGCACCGATCTCTGCTGGGAACCAGAAACCAGTGGAGATCACAGCATATTTGACACGGAGGATGTGGGCCAGGATAAAGCCGCACATCTCATTGGGGTCCACCAACAGCAGGTCAAAGTGCTCACTCTGGAGTTTCTGCAGAAGGGTAGAGTTTCCCAGCACCAGGTCACAGTTTTCTAGATACTTCTCCAAAAAGGAAAACATCTCCAGAGAGGTCATCTTCCCTTGGAAGACACGCTTTATCTTCTCCTGCACCCAGGCATCCGCGCTCTCTGTGCTGAAGATACCCCAGTACGTCTGCAGACGGAAGCCAGGCAGGTAGGTTTCCACATCCCGACCCTCGTGAAGAAGTAGCACGGGGTCATGGCCCCGGTCAGCCAGCGCCTCTGCCACTCGCATGAAGACTCTCAAGTGGCTGTCAAAGACTATGGTGGGCATGATCAGCACCTTGGCACAGTGACATGGCTCCAGAGTGAATGCAGCCACTAGGAAGAAAAGAGCAGCAGGACATGACAGCACCTTCATCATCTTCATTGCTGCAAGAAGAGAAACATGCCATTCATACAGTATGAAATGCTGTGTCATATACTTGGGCAACTAACAACTGGGACTGTAGCTGCAAGCCAAGCTCTCATGAGCTGGGAGAGGAGAGCAGTCTGGAGTTCATCGCTGGGGAAGGAGGGCCACAAAAAACAAACAGACAAACAAACCAAAAAGACCAGTCAGATATCAGGGGAGTTTTCCAGAAATTCAAAGCCTTTTCTCTGTGGTCCTAAGGCTCAAAAACTAGCAGACTGACTTGCAGATGGTTAGGGAGGGAGAATGGCTGGAAGAGCTCTGCCAGGTCGCAGCACCAGCAGACACTTGCTGCTCGATCCCCAGTTACCGCTACAGAACCAGCACAGCTGGATTTCATTCCCATTTCTGCCCAGCCAGAATGGCAGGTTCCCTCCAAACCCCTGATGTCTGCGTAAGCTCGCTGGATGGCCTGCAGAGCCTGGTGGGGATGAAGAGAGGCACACTCCAGCTTTGGCCCTTGCAAGGCTGGCAAGCCACCTTGCTCAGCACAGACAGGGTGGGAGCGAACCCAGGTCACAGCAGGACCCGCCAAGAGGAACCGCGACCCCAGAGAGCACAACAGGGAGCTGGATGGAGAGCTGCTCCGCTACAGATCAGCCATGGCAGGAGGGAAGGCTCCAGGGAAAGGGCTGGGAAGGGAAAGCAGGTGCAGGGTACTGATGCACTGGAAGAAGACAAGCCCAGAAAGCAGCCCCAGAGACAACACGCAACACCTGTGGCACACTGGTGCCCCTTAGTCACACTCCTACGGCCGTCATCCCATCCCCAGTTTGGTGAAACACCCAACATTTCTGTTGTGTAAGGGATGTTGCTACATCACTGGAAGCAAATGCACCTCACCCACACCTTGCATTATTTTGGGAGAAGAATTAAGTGATAAAAGCAGAGCCATGTCCTGAGGACCCAGTTCAGACATGCTAGAAAGGGTGAGGGGGAAGATGTTACAATGAGAACAATTTTAAGTGGATTTTGGATGGCCCCACATGCTAAGCCCCAGGGGGGCTGCTGGGATGTGGTAGAGCAGAATATGGTACAAGATTTTCTGCCAGCCTCTCCAGTATTGCTTGATCAATTAAGAGGCAGGAAAGGAAGTCATGGACAAGATCCTGCTAAATACAATCTTCAGGGTCCCCTCAGCAGCTGGATATTTCTGGCTAGAGATAGAGGGTGGGAGTGCAGACATGGGAGAGTGAAAGTGCCATACTGCCCCCTGCCCCCATTCCTTTCCTGTCCCCTGTAGGGTGATGGGCTGGAGAGAGGACAGCAGAAGCCCTGCAAGGTAAGTAAGGACCTGCCCAGCATCCTGCCTCCTTGCCTGTGACAACAGGCTGGCCCATGCCAGCAGCATTGGCCACCATAGAGCTACAGCCCACAAAGCTGGTCCAGGTCTCAGCTTAGTTGAGAAGCCTAAAAGGTTCTCAACCTTCCTGCCCAACACCAGGGAAGGTAAAGCATTTGGCTATGACATTGTGCAGCAGGACCAGAGCACCTGCAGCTTCCAGGGGAGAGAGGGAGGGATGGCAGCCCTGTGCTGCTGGCCTTCTCCAGGACAGCAGGGAGCTCAGGACAGGCTCCATGACAGGAACAGGTATAGGCTTGTCCTGGGGCACCTGGCAGGTCATACACACGCATAAGTATGCTGAGAAGAGCAGAAGAAGTGGTTTCATATGTGGGGTGGGGTGTTTCCTCATTGGGCAACAAGTAAAAAGTGAAGAAACAGTGCAGGTAAAAGGAATAGTTATTTAAAGAAAAGATCTGTCACTCATCTTCATCAAGTACCGTGTCCTGCCATGGACCTACGTGCCAGACATTGCAGAGACCCTCAGCTCTTCCGGGACCCTCTGCCGTCCAAATGGCAAGTAAACTGTCAATCTCAGCCCTTAAGCCGGGGCAGATGCTGACACAAGAGACTTGCAAACTGCTCTTGGCTGCATCATCCCTTCTAACATCAGGAGCAATCCCTGAAGGTGCTGGTTCAGGAACCCCTTCTCCCTGCCCAAGGCAACAAGGGGAGGCTGTAAATCTTCCTCTAAGTGGTGAGAGGATGCCAGGCTGCAGGAAGAGACCCTTTTTCCTACACCAGCTCAGTATTACCAGAGCTAATCTCTGCTCTGTCCATGTCTGGAGCTGGCCACAGCTCCAGCCCTAGATCTGGATACATCAGGCAGGGTTCCAACCAGGCACATGCCTGCTTTTTAGTGCTCCTGGGATATAATGAAGGCATAACTACCAGCTTAAAGGGCAGTACTCTGCTGTCTATCCCTTGTTCAGCAACCAGGCACTGTTAGGATCTCAGGTTGATAGTAAAGGGGAAAGAAGACATGGACCTTACGCACACAAGGGCTAAATGTGAACCTAGATGAGGGAAGGTTCAAAATCCACCTGCTCATCTCTCCACTTTACCCTGAGCACCAAAGCTGTCCCATGAGCTTTGCAGCAGGATCCTCCAGCAAGGGCAGGTGCTGTGGCCAGTGCAGCACCGTCTGCAACGTGGGGTGCTGGCTGCAGCCCAGCCCTCTGGCTACGGGAACTTAGCTGCCTGCACCCACTGTCGGGCTGCAGGCAGGTGGTCTGCAACAGAAACCTCCAAACCACCAGGCATGGGAACGTAATTCTTCTACAGGGAGGTGAATTCACCGCCGGTGCCTTGGTAGAGGTGCAGAATCCAAGTAAACAAGAACTCCTACACTGGAGCTGCCAGCAGAGCAGACAGAACCACCTCCTTGTTTGTGGTGTGGAAGTCCTGTGTCAGGGGCCGAATTAGATAAATATTGCAAGAAATATCACAGCCACTGCAAGGAGAAGGCTTGTAAAGACAGAATAGACTCTTCTTTGTTTTCATGACAAGCGCTCAGCAAACCATGCCTACTGGCTGATTTACGCAGAGAAATCCCCTTAACCACAGCTAATGCTAACAGCCAGAAGTCAGGGTTCAAGGAAACTATCAAAAAAGCCTAGGCCACAAAGGCTTTAAGTTTCAGTGCTGCAGCAGGCAGGGCAGGGTAAGAGCACCTCGGTAAGAGCCAGGGCCAGGGAGGAAGCCCCTCGTGACTGCCACGGCGGGCAGCCACATCCCCCTGCCCCGTGCGCCTGGCCACCCTCAGCTGCTGGGAGTTTGCTATCAAAGCCCGAGCAACACATTGAAATTGAAATGGGAGGCAGCAGAAAGGCAGCAGAGAGAAAACAGCCCTCTGACATGCACACACCCACCCCCTCTCCCAGAAAAAAACTCTTACTGGGCTGAAATTCACCCCTTGATTTTGCCCTACTTAACATGTTTGATATTTGTATTACTTTGATATTGATGGAAAAATACATCAGTTTAACTTAAGTAATCTAACAGCTACAGCTCTAAAGATTTCTCTAATTCAGGTATGCACCTTTTATTAGGTTGAAGTACTAAAACCTCTGCAGAGGCTGCTTACTGCCAGAGAAGCCCACAAAGAAAGGGCAGTGAACAGACTCCAGTGCAAGGACTCTGCCCTTCACATTTCTCCCTCTCCTCCAGTATTTTGTGTTACCTGGGTCCTGCCTAGGACTTGGAAGCCCATATCCATGGGGCTGAATTATTTCGCCTGCTGCATCCTGATCTCCTTCCAGCTCTTGCCCACAGTAAGAAGAAATGCTTTCACTGTAAGCTTCTCAAGAGTTAACAAAGCAGCACAATTCATCTGAAGCCAAAAGGAAAAGGCATCTTCACTTGGATGCTCAAAACTCTTCCTGGAATACGAAAACAAAAGTTTGCCTGATCTGTTGGGTATGATCCAGAGAAAACAGGACCATCTGCTACCATCATGTTGATGACGGCCAACCCAGTTGTGCCTAATGTATGGACGCCAAAACTCCGTGCAAGTAGGCAGGTATGCAGCTCAGAGAAATTCTGCCACTGCAGGAAGATGTTACACTACAAGCAGGAGCTGCCCAGGGGAATCTCTAGTAAAAACCTTCAAGATACAATGCTGTATAAAGTAGACTTAAAGCACGTGCTAAAGCAGGGAAGTATAACCATCAATCACATCCAACCCAGTGCTTGGTGGGCTCCTGTGCTCTGGTTTGGATTATCACAGACTCCTGGGTAAACACTACTAACACTAAAATACTGATATTAGTATTATTATTATTTGTATTACAGTATACTAATACTAGTGTTTTAGCATAGAAAACAACAAGCAAGAAAAACCCCTCCTCTTCAAATATAAGCCTCCCCAGGCAGCCTACAGCCCTGAGTTCTTTTAAATATTGTTTGCACACAGAGTGAACAGCGCACAGATGGTCTGCTCAAAATTGAGTGCCCTTCCAGCATTTTTCTTTTGACATCTTCATGGCAGCCCACAAGAAACACAGAGAATGAAGAAAGCCCAGATCCCCAAAAGACCAAAGGGAACAACCAAAGCAGTGATGAGGTCAGCATCAGAGTAACTCATACTTTGCACGACACTCAGTGCTACTGCTTCCACACAACGGCATCCAAAGCGCTTTGGGACCTTGGACCATCTTCAACATTCTTCCTGGCTCATGGGAGTCTTATGGAGGAAGCTCCACTGGCAAGGTGGGCTAGCAGGAGGTTAGCAGTCCATAGCTCACAGCCCAGGAACCATGGTACTAAAGAAAATACTGGTCCATAACAACTGAGAAAAGAAATAAAAGATCTGTATCTCAGCTTGTCAAGGCATTTGAAACTACCTGTCTTCAAGAACTTGAGCTAGGGGATGGTGTCAAACACCACACGTCTGCTTCCTCTCATCATATATTAAAGCTGCCTAGGTGATAAGCGAGATTCCTCTCATTCCATATCCACAGGATTCCTGGTTGTCTTCTGAAAGGGACAGTGATTGTTTGTGACACCACGGTGCTCTGCAACAGCAAGTTCTTCCGGATTGCCTTTTCCCCCTTGCTTGCAACACGGTTGCAAGACAGAAGTAGCTGCTGATGCCAGGCTGTGCTCCTTGGGAGCG